GTAGAGAGAATAGTGCAACAATGAATGAGTGGAAGCCCAAAATCTCTGTAAATGTTTATGAAAATTAATAAAATATAATTATAGGGGAAAAAAAGGATAACAGAAAAAAAATCCATTCGCGTGTCAGCGTTGACTTGGTTCCTATTCAACAGCAATGAGTTTGGAGGGTTTTTTTAACACTCTTTCTCCAGAGAGATACACACACACTCCAGTCATCAGAAGTCACTCACTTGGTTTATTTACTTTCATTTACGTGTATCTAAAAAAATATTGGCTCAGATACATCCTACACTGATCAAAAGCAATACCTTTTGGTCTGTGTAAAAAACAAGCCCAAACAAAAACAACCCAACCCGCACTTTCATTGCTTTCCTAAAATTCCTTGCTAATCCTCCACCGGGTTGCACATCTTTCTCACTGAGGGCCAGTGATGGATTCAAACCATGAGCTTGCACCCATGTGCAAATATTACTAATGAGGTCACTTAGTAGTCTACAGTACATATGACCCTGAGACAACAGTTCAAAACCATTCCCTCTCCCAAATCCCCTCACCAATGGGTGTAAGCCCATTATTTGCAGTCGTTGTGTCAATCCAACTCCTTTAAGATTTCGTCTTTTGCTAACTCTTCACTTTTCCCAGTATATCTTTTTCAAAGGAATGGCACCTTCTTCTTACAAGATGTTAAAAGTATATGAGAAGAAATTTCACCATACTTGCCACTTAAGAAGCAACATCACAATTCAAAGACATCACTCTTTGGCCTTTATTATTCATTATATAACTTCCACATGCACTCAAAGAAATTGAAAATTCCATGTCTTTGATAAGGTGTGCCTTAGTCCTTACAGGAACATCTTCACTCTTCAGTAATTTAAATAGGTCCTTGATGGTTGATTTTCCCAATGCAATATGTATTTTAATTTCTTTTTTTTTACTTTTTTTTCTATAATTATATTTTATTAATTTTCATAAACATTTACAGAGATCTTGGGTTTCCATTCATTCATTGTTGCACTGTATTTTAATTTCTTGATTGTTGCTATGATGGATGCTGATTATGGACCCAAGTAAAATTAAATAATTGACAAATTTAGGACATTAATAGAGCAATTTAAAAATTAAACCTTGATACATTTTAAAGTATTGATATGACTCTGAAATTTATACTGGATTTTTAAAAATTCTCTTTCCAAATACAAATTTAAAAACCATATACTTGTTGTTGAGTCACAAAAGACTCACCATTAAATTTTCAGAGACTATAAATCATGTGAGTAGAGTCTATCCATCTTTCTTCCTCAGAGCAAACGGTGGTTTGGACCACTTGCCTGTGTGTTGGCAGTGCAACTCCTTACCATTAGACCGTCAGAGGTCCTTTTTTTCTAAATAGCAATCCCTTTAATATTGGTGCTGAACTGAAAGGCAACATTCCATTTCTCTGAGGTTTATCCTGTGCAACACGTCTAATCTATTCCCAAATAGTCTTTGTCGCTATGGACAGATAGATGCAAGGGGGCTCGTGACTACACCATTGCCTAAATTTAATTTCTTCCTGTGGGCATCCAGAAACAGACATGATTGAGGAAAAATTATTAGGTGCCATTGAGTCATGTACACCATATGAACAACAGGAACCTTGTGCCATTCTCATAATTTCTGACACACTTGAGCCCATTACTGCTGTCATGTATCAATCCATCTAGTTAAGAATCTTCCTGTCCTTTGCCGACCCTTCACCTTTCCAAGCATGATGTTCCTTTCTAAGAAATAGCTTCTCCTAGCAACATGTGCAAAACATGTGAGATGAAGCTTCACCATTCTTGCCTCCAAGAAGCACTCTGGCTGCACCTTGTCCAAGACATATTTGTTTTGTTCTTTTGGAAGTCCATGGGATATTCTGTACCTTTCCTCAACATCATAGTTTAAAGGCATTAATTCTTCTTCTATCATCTTTATTCACTGTCCAGCTCTGAGCAGTATAGCAAGTAATTGAAAAGACTATGACCTGAATCAGGCAAACCTTAGTCCTCAAACTGACATCATTGCTCCTCAGTCATTTGGAGAGGTCCCTAAGTGCAGACTTGCCTAGCGAATATATCTCTTGACTGCTGGTACTAAGTGTATTGATTCTGGATCCAAGTTAAGATGAAGTAATTGATAAATGTCAATTCTTTATCCCTCTATCATGATGTTTCCAAGAATAGGTTATCAGAAAAACTGGTTACATCCTCTTTCCTGAGACCCAGGAAAAAACTGAATGGTATATGCCCAATCATGGAATCTAACCAATTTGTTATGGATCTATACTGCAATAACCTCACTTGAGAAATCTTCCTTAAAATTCCTTGATGAACTTTGGGCCAATTAATTTGTGACCTTTAGTTTCTGATCTAAAAACACAAGAACATGTCCTATTTTGCTGTCTGGCAGAATAGTTATTTTCACTCTGTGACAATGGGCATTTCCCTGGTCTAGATTTTCTCTATTCTTTAAAAAGTTTCATTTGCTTTTAAAACAGTAGACTCTGTGAGGTTGCTCTTTTAAACTTTTTAACAAATATTTGAGGAAGGGGTTCTTATCTCAATCCAAAACAGACTTATTTTGTGTTCATGATATGCTGGGATAAATGCAAGGGTTGTTGTTGTCAAGTACCTTTGAGTCGTAGGTGACCCTATGAATGAAAGCCCTCAACATCTGTGTGACTTTCATCCTTTCTTCAGGGTCACAGGGTTTCTGGAGGCAAGCTATTTACAGAAGTGGATGCCACTCCTGCTCCCAAGCTTGTTTTAATCGAGGAGCACCACCAAACACTGTCCACCATTGGTAACCATTGTCCCATTTGACACATCAGTGTCACAGCGTTCAGCTTCACAGCAACCACAAGTTACCTCTGTATGGAAAGTGGACACACCAGAGCTATATGACCTACAAGAATGTTTGACCAGAAACAATTAAAGACAAGCCTTAGGGATGGAGATTAGAGTCATCCACCTTCGGCTTGGTAGTATCACTTTTGGTCCACTAGGTCAACTGGTCTCTATGTTGTTAAGTGTCATTGAGTCA